AAAACATACAGGTTTAAGTGTTACATAATAAGTCTTTTGATCTGTGTCGGCATGATGATACAAGTTCATTTCTTTTGTTTAGTGTGGAGTGGTGAGGTCTAAAAATTATTATAACTTTTTCCTTCAAACATAGAATGCTGGAGCTACTGTACGGACTACCACGAGTAGAAATTGTCCATGTTATTCTGTGCTCAATATTTTTTTCTTTCAGTGACCAAACATGTTTACTTAGTTCTGTCGCATTTCTAGAGGCCTGGTTACGAAATGAGGCAGTGTGGTTTCTGTACATTGTTTTGAATTCATTTCCAGTGAGACCGACGTACGTTTCGCTAGTTTGTTTGTCTAAGCGCGTAACATCCGCTTGGTATATCACGCCGGACTGCAAACACTTCCCGTCCAGTGGACATGCCGTTTTTTTTCTGACAATTGCATAGTTTGTTGACTTTCGTTTTATCAGTTGTGGTGCTCTTATCAGTCGCGAGTTGCCGTTTGTTTTTACTGTTGATGGTATATTTTATATTGTTCATACAGGTATAGCTGACTTTGATGGTATTTCGGTTGAATATTTTCCTGAGATTATTGCCAGTTATATATATATATATATATATATATATATGCATTGACAATACTCGTTTAGTCATTTAGTTAGGTATTATTCGAAAAAAAACTGAATAGTAAGGCAGATCATATTGTAACAGGTAAATAACAAAAAGAAGACATTGTACAACGTTGTTGAATTGAGTGAATTCCGAGTGCCACGTCAGTCCACCAATATGTAGTCGAGTTTTCGTATGTACAATATTGATATAGATTTAATATGGCAATTCATTAGGGATTACTCACATCTACCTGAACCATCTATAAGTAGACACTATTACCAAAATTTAAACAATCTTACATAATAATATGTGTAGAAAGGTTTCATATTGAACACGTATATATTATGACGAAGGCAATAGTGAGAGTATGTACGTTTTTTATTTTCCTCTTCTCTTGATTGATTGCATTTTATCGAAATGCCATATTTTATCCAAATCGGCATATTATCCACCCACCATCCCGAATCAGACAGTTGTCCAAATCAATTATTGTTTTTTTTATTGCGTGTACCTCTCATAGGTGTCATATAAGCGATGTTATATAATTCAGAAATATCATTAAATATAACTTAGATAGAAATGAACATTAATACCAATATTAGATTGAACTTTAATATGCAGAGCATATAAATAATAGTTCCATCAAAACCAAAGTAAGTTCGTGTTAACATTTTGAAATATCATTAACATGAGATTTAATTACTCATAATATAAGTTGTAAAGTGGCGCAGAAAATTATATAATTTATCAGAGTAAATATAGAAGCCTGCAAATCTAAAAATGAAAAACATTTATATTTCATATATTAGAGAATACTATTAAAATTAATAATTTTTCACTCAATACCACAAAATCATTCTAACAAATGTGACGGAAAAACATCTGGGATTTCTAAACATTCTTGGCTGCATATCACCAGGAAAATTAGCGGTCTTAACGTAAAATAAGGTGTTACTAGAAACCATTCAAGACTATTTACTTTTTACTCGAGACCAATAAGGTCGAACATTACGACGTTGCGCATGCTCGGTCAGACTACTCATCTGCTTCGTAATAAACGATGTATATGTGTAGCCATTTGGGTAATAATAATTTCTAATGTGGATTGGAAAATAAACACACCAAAAATTAAAAATTCCACTCACTTAAACATAAACAATAAAACACTGTTATAATTTTCCTTTGCCTCTCGTATTGTATAATTTATACTGCAATCGAGTAGTACACCCCTTGCTTCACCACATTTAATAACAAAGCCACATTTTAGTTGAATTGTGGTGTATTGTATAGCAGTGGTGACTACGTCATAATGCAACAAATGCTGAGAAATACCGGAGTACGTGTGACGTTTTTTTTTTAAATAAAGACCATGGAGGCCCATTGTGGCAGACTACACTTCTAAACCAGAAAATACAACTGTTTCAGACTTCATTCGTTTTTTCTATATTAAACATTACATTTGCATTACTAGTAAAATTGAAGAAACAAATTGTTAGCATATGTCACGTGGTACTGCAATAGTGTGGC